GTCAACATTTCTATTTACATGAATAGAGGCGTATTATTTCCGCATGTATTATTATAAAACCCAGCTTATGTATCCGCTGCAGCTGCATGCCGCTCGTTACTGAAGCCACTGATGCATAATAAAATACAATTCATAATAAAACTTATACAACACAGTGTAGAAGTAGAATCTGTTGACACTTTTATGATATTTTTATTGAACTTGCAAACAACAGCAGCTCAATGCAGCTGAGCTCTTTCATTGTATTCCCGGTAAAATTCTCGACTGTTCACTGGCAGCTATGGATTCGTGCGCCGGCCTATGCATTCGGCGCACGGATCCATAGCTGCCAGCGCTGCATACTGTCGTAGGACGTTCCCGTGGTCGAGTGCGCCTTGCCGCGAAACTGCGCGCAAGATCTGCGCTCAGCGCTTCGGATCAACACCTTCTTTCAGCAACGCTTCTCTAGTATCCCGTCTCATCTGATATGCCTTCACTTACAGCATTTACCTGTACTAGCAGACTAATACCCGTACAACGACCAAATCGTGCCTTAAAATATAAACTTCGTGTAAGTGACACAGTTGAAGTTAAATATTTCATGCAACTAAAAAAACAGAAACAAAAAAACATTTTGGGAAGAAACAAAAAGCGCAATTCTATAAGTGAGCAGTAGAAAAAGTGCTCAGTTGGTGACGTGACCACTTGGTTGAAAGGAAAATACCGCAAAATCTATCTATCTATCTATGTATCTATCCATCCATGCATCCATCCCAGGGGCGTTACAGGATTTGTACCGGGGGGGGGGTCTAACCGTAATCCATAGTTGCGAGCACTCAAAAGGGGGGGGGGTCTGGGGGCCTTCCCCAGAAAAATGGTGAAATTAGACCCCATTAGATGCGTTTCTTGCGCGAGCAGGGGGTGTGGGTCTGGACCCTGGCCCCCCCCCCTGTACTCGCCCCCTGCATCCATCGCATGTCATGCCATGCCATGCCATGTCATATGCCATCCCCTCTATCCCATGCCACCCATGCCATGCCATGCCATGCCATCCCACCACATCTTCTTCTATCTCATCCCATCCCATCCCATCCTATGCCATCTCATGTGATCCGATGCAATCCCATCGCAGTATACCCCATCCCATATCCCATCCCATCCAATCCAAACAATAAAAAATAATATAAAGAACATGAAAATAATAATAAATAATAATAGTAGTAAATAATAATAATAGTAAAAAAAAATGTTAATGAGTGTAGTAACATTTATTTTTTACATTTTGAAATTAACGCTGAAGTGGCAGAAGTAGATACTAAAGAGTATAAAAGTAAAGGAGAAATTTTTTCCCCAGCTGAGATTCGAACCCGCAATCTCGGTTATGAAACCGACTCCTACCGACTTCGCTACGGCGGCGGGCAAGACGCGCGAGATAATTCCACGTACGTGATGATTGAATTTTGACGTTTACCAATTTTTTTGACATTTTAACTTTTTAAATTTTTGTCTCAGCCAGAACCATCTGCAAGACGTGGTGATTCTGAATATATCTTCAGTTAGCGGCGATTGAGTGAAAAATCACAGAGAAAAGCGAGGTCAAACAAACATACTGACACACAAGATTAGCCTCATTATAGTATAGATAGATGTTATAATATACTTTATAAGTTAACCATAGAAATAACCTATAAGTTATCTATATTATTTCTATGGCAGTGCTCCTAATGCAGCCTAAGCTATTTTAGTTGAACGCTCTATTCGCCAGAGGCAGCACCATTGAATCAATTAACAAGCAAGCGACGCAGCGTATAAGAAATGACCGATCGGTTTGGCTTATTTTACAGGAGTATCAGGGTTGCCATTTGGCCGTTTCACGGCAAAATTCCTCAAATCTGGCCGTATAAAAATTCGCCTGGCCGTAACATATAAAAAGTCATGGCCAAACTATATTTGGCCGGTTTGGCCGAATTTGTGAAAAGATTACATTTTTGCAACGATGGTGTAGTATCTCGTTATTTTGTATACACCGCCATCTCGCGGTCCAATTGCCTTGTGATAACGGAAGAGAATAAAGGATACAAAACAGTTGTACGGCGGGAAATGACTGTAAAGCAGAAATACGTATTATATTTTAAATAATTTAAATATTTCTATATTTAAATATTTCTATTTTCTATATTTCTATATTTAAATTTCTATTTTTTATTTCTATATTTTAATATTTCTATATTTTTAATATTTTAATATTTTAATATTTCTTATTTAAATATTTCTATATTTAAATAATTTAAATATTTCTATATTTAAATATTTCTATATTTTAATATTTTATAAAAATGTATTTTATAAAAATATATTTATAAAAAATAATTTTATATAAATTATTATATATATATTATATTTAATAATAAAATATAATATAATATAATATAATATAATAATAATAATAATTAATTAATAATAAATAATAAATAATAATATATATAATAAAATATAATAAATATATAATTATAATAAAATATAATAAATATAATATAATATAATAATATAATAAAATTATATATATTTTATAAAATATATTTTATAAAAATATAAACATTGTGTAATAACTATAATAATTATGTTTACTAATACTATTGAAATGTTATCTCACCGATGGAAAGTAATCTTTGCTGCTTTTGACTCCTTACATCTAACAACGTCACAGTTGTATGCACTACAATACAGTGGCATGATATATCAATGGATGCAATATGGATGGATATCGATGAAATGTCGCAACCTATATGCCCATCGCAATATGCAGAAATGCACTTTGTTCTGCTATATATATATATATATGCTGTAACTATAACGTCATAATCGGAAACATGAGAACATCACATTGGTCTCTTCAAGATGGATACGAGAAGTTGAAGCGGCAGTGACGATTGCAGGGCTAGACTGGTACCGACCTTCACTCCGCCAACGATCGTTGGCTACACTGAAGTGAGTTACAGTAGCCTGTGGAACTGTCCACCGGGTAGCAGTCTAGCTTAGTCAGCGATGCCTTGTGTAGAAAAAGGACTTGAAAATACTATGTACATGACCTCGTTGCGCCATCTATCGGACGCCATATGTACGAGAATAATTTCACGGCGTGAAACGGAAAAAATGGAAACTCGCTTTTCTAGAAGAAAACGAAACACGCCGAGCAGCAAACAAACAATTACGACCATTTCTAGGAAATGTCTAGCTACGTGCGTAGTGAAAAGGCTTGTGGAATCGCCACAACTGCTCAATTGAGCGATTATACGGCTTTGGTCTCTACCCAAAGGGACCTGAAGAAGGACAGCCGAGGAGCTATGAGGCTTAAATGGTCTCACTTACAAAGCGAAGTCAAGAAAAAGGCTGCGAAAAAGAGAAAAGATGAAAGAAAAACAGGTGGGGGCCCTTGTGAAGTGCCAGATTTGACACCAATAGAAGAAAAAATCATGGCCATTATTCCAACAGTGGCCATAGAAGGAATTCCAGGGGGCATCGACACACTAGATGAATCCACTTTTAGGGATGTAGCTCCACTATCGCCTTGTACGGAGGCTTCTCAATGCGATTCCAGACCTCCGTTCGAGTCAACTCCAGAAACACAATTTCTCGAGGAAGATGCTTGGCAGCCACTGCAAATAGTCTCACTAGGTATAGGGTTAGGGCCAGAGATGGATGAAAACCCTACAGTAGTTAGCAGCGTCAGTTCCACTCCTCCCCAACCAGCACAACAGCAGAACGAATATGTTGACACGCATAGAAAAGATACTCATCATAAGAGGCGTCGCAGGGACCCAGGAGCAGAGATGTCTACAAAAGAGGTAGATATAATCCGCGTGGTGCAGGAGAGGTTGAAGCTCGAAACGGAGAGATTACATTGTGAGCAGCACCGGTTGGCGGCTGAACAGGAATGCATGCTTGACATTGAGAAGCGCCGCCTTGAAATCGAACAGCAGCGACTGGAGATTGAGCTAAGGAGGGACACTGTTTCGCAAGGACACGAATTTCAAACCTACTAGGGCTATACGGCACTGCCCACCCTACTATTGAGATTTTCTAAATTATATTTGTTGGATCATATACTCATGTATAGCATTTATATGTGAACAAGTACAGTTTACTTGCATGCTAAACTTTATTTTATTTTGATTAATAGTATATACTGAACAAATAAGCTGATTACTATTACATATATACTTTTCCACCTTATTTGCGTTTTTAATAAAGCTTGTATTCATAAACCCTTCTGATAATTCAGCATCATTGTGCAGTTCAGCTGCAGGCATGAATAAATCTGCCAATGAAATGGCAGTTTTAGATTGACTTATTAATTAAGAGTTCTTAATGTATACAAGGAAATGTATTACAAAGGTTATAGGTAAGCATCGTACGTACTACTGCAATGACGTCAATGAAACGCTACAGCCCAAAGGTATTTAAAGAGATTGTAATGAAAAAGAAATGCTTGGATATGTTGAATTAAGATTCTATAGATATATACGTTAGAACAAGTAACTTTTAAAACCTTGTTGAAGCGATCGATCAACACTGTACCACGCATTAAGCAGGTGACAGTAAAACACACACGAGAGACATGGTTCAACTCGCAGATAAAGGAAGTCATTAGACAAAGAGACAGGAATCTATTACAATTCACGAGAAATAACGATGACATTGACTTTAGGCATTTCAAGTTACTTACAAATAAAACTCACAATGACATTAAGAGGGCAAAGGCTATTTTTCTACAGAAAATATTGAAAGGAACAACAATAATCGTAACAAACTATGGCACACTCGAAAACCTATGGCTATGAACAATAAAGCAAAGAATAACTGTGGTGAGGTAGCTTTAAAATTTAAAAAATTAGGGGTACAGTACTACTAGGAAATAATTTGAATGTTTGCCCTGTAAGCAAAGAAGAGGTCTTAAACGTACTTAATAACATAAACGCAGATAAGGCTACAAGGTTAGATAGCATACCAGGTCAATTTATAAAACATTGGTGTCACGTTTTGTTTATTTATTGTGTTATCCATGTAATCTATGGTTTAATTCTTAATTATCAAACTAAAGAAATGAAAAGAAATAAAGAAAAATGTTGTGTGACCGATGGAAAGTTATCTTTCGTGCTTTTCACTCCTTACATCTAATAAGGTTACAGTTGTATGCAGTAAAATACAGTCGCACGACCAATTGAGACACTAGGACTGCTGATCGTAGCACGAAAATTCTACGATATACATATAGCTACACATATATAGGACCTACAAGCAAATCTATGACAAAGGTTATAGGTAAGCATCGTACTACTGCAATGACGTCAATGAAACACTACTGCTACACCAGAATTACTATGTTGTTTGGACACTGTAGCAGGCATGAAGCAGGTGACAATAAAACACACATGAGAGACATGCTTTAACTCGCAGATAAAAGAACTTATTAGGCCTTACTTCCTTAACTTATTAGGTTATTAATCCTGCAAACTTCAAATGTGCTGTTTTCGTGATTTTATTGACTTTTTGCTCACCTGACTACAATGGCTAACATGAGATGTGCACCCACATATATTACTTTGAAAGGGCAAGTGAAAAAACATGTTCTAACTTATGGAAAAGGTGAAGAGGATGGAATTACAACTGTTTTGTATCCTTTATTCTCTTCCGTTATCACAAGGCAATTGGACCGCGAGATGGCGGTGTATACAAAATAACGAGATACTACACCATCGTTGCAAAAATGTAATCTTTTCACAAATTCGGCCAAACCGGCCAAATATAGTTTGGCCATGACTTTTTATATGTTACGGCCAGGCGAATTTTTATACGGCCAGATTTGAGGAATTTTGCCGTGAAAACGGCCAAATGGCAACCCTGATACTCACTGTAAAATAAGCCAAACCGATCGGTCATTTCTTATACGCTGCGTCGCTTGCTTGTTAATTGATTCAATGGTGCTGCCTCTGGCGAATAGAGCGTTCAACTAAAATAGCATTAGGCTGCATTAGGAGCACTGCCATAGAAATAATATAGATAACTTATAGGTTATTTCTATGGTTAACTTATAAAGTATATTATAACATCTATCTATACTATAATGAGGCTAATCTTGTGTGTCAGTATGTTTGTTTGACCTCGCTTTTCTCTGTGATTTTTCACTCAATCGCCGCTAACTGAAGATATATTCAGAATCACCACGTCTTGCAGATGGTTCTGGCTGAGACAAAAATTTAAAAAAGTTAAAATGTCAAAAAAATTGGTAAACGTCAAAATTCAATCATCACGTACGTGGGAATTATCTCGCGCGTCTTGCCCGCCGCCGTAGCGAAGTCGGTAGGAGCTCGGTTTCATAACCCGAGATTGCGGGTTCGAATCTCAGCTGGGGAAAAAATTTCTCCTTTACTTTTATACTCTTTAGTATCTACTTCTGCCACTTCAGCGTTAATTTCAAAATGTAAAAAATAAATGTTACTACACTCATTAACATTTTTTTTTACTATTATTATTATTTACTACTATTATTATTTATTATTATTTTCATGTTCTTTATATTATTTTTTATTGTTTGGGATTGGATGGGATGGGATATGGGATGGGGTATACTGCGATGGGATTGCATCGGATCACATGAGATGGCATAGGATGGGATGGGATGGGATGAGATAGAAGAAGATGTGGTGGGATGGCATGGCATGGCATGGCATGGGTGGCATGGGATGGGAGGGGATGGCATATGACATGGCATGGCAATGGCATGACATGCGATGGATGCAGGGCGAGTACAGGGGGGGGGGCCAGGGGGTCCAGACCCACCACCCCCTGCTCGCGCAGAAAACGCATCTAATGGGGTCTAATTCACCATTTTTCTGGGGAAGGCCCCCAGACCCCCCCCCTAATTGATGCTCGCAACTATGGATTAGGTACCGACCCCCCCCCCCGGTACAAATCCTGTACACGCCCCTGGGATGGATGCATGGATGGATAGATACATAGATAGATAGATAGATTTTGCGGTATTTTCCTTTCAACCAAGTGGTCACGTCACCAACTGAGCACTTTTTCTACTGCTCACTTATAGAATTGCGCTCTTTGTTTCTTCCCAAAATGTTTTTTTGTTTCTGTTTTTTTTAGTTGCATGAAATATTTAACTTCAACTGTGTCACTTACACGAAGTTTATATTTTAAGGCACGATTTGGTCGTTGTACGGGTATTAGTCTGCTAGTACAGGTAAATGCTGTAAGTGAAGGCATATCAGATGAGACGGGATACTAGAGAAGCGTTGCTGAAAGAAGGTGTTGATCCGAAGCGCTGAGCGCAGATCTTGCGCGCAGTTTCGCGGCAAGGCGCACTCGACCACGGGAACGTCCTACGACAGTATGCAGCGCTGGCAGCTATGGATCCGTGCGCCGAATGCATAGGCCGGCGCACGAATCCATAGCTGCCAGTGAACAGTCGAGAATTTTACCGGGAATACAATGAAAGAGCTCAGCTGCATTGAGCTGCTGTTGTTTGCAAGTTCAATAAAAATATCAATAAAAGTGTCAACAGATTCTACTTCTACACTGTGTTGTATAAGTTTTATTATGAATTGTATTTTATTATGCATCAGTGGCTTCATGTAACGAGCGGCATGCAGCTGCAGCGGATACATAAGCTGGGTTTTATAATAATACATGCGGAAATAATACGCCTCTATTCATGTAAATAGAAATGTTGACTTATATATAAAGAATGAGGAAGTAATAATTACAAATATTGTCAATAGGTCCATAGCTCCTGATATTATCTGTCAATTGTGCGTGTTAGATAACATACTTATGTTACGCCATGACTTGTGGCTAAGGCTAAAAAATAATTTTGTTGAGGAAACGAATTTTTGTGACTTCTGAAAAATGCACGCACTGAGCGACGCACACACACATACAAACACATACATGCACCCATACAAATGTCTGTGCCAGCCTGCGTGCGTACGTACGTGTGTCGGTGTGTGACTGCGTGCGTTCATACATGTATACGCACGTGTGTGCGTATTTGTGTGCTTCGTAGTACTACAGCTAGCTATGTGCTTGCGTGCTTGGCTGCCTGTATAAGTATAGGTACGGGCGTGCGTACGTGCGTCCGTCTGTGCGTACCTGCGTGCGGGCGTAATCATTAGAATGTGTGCGGACGCATGAGCGTGTACAGCGAACTGTGCGATCAGAAAGCATATCCACACAAAGCAGCTAAACGTATGCACGCACGCGCACGCCTGGACGCACGCGCATACGCACGCTCGCAGGCACGTGCACGCGGACGCTTGCATGTAGGCGTACACGCACGCCCGCACGCACCTGCACATGCACACATACATGGAAGATGCGCGCATAGTGATACGCGTGTATCTAGATGCTACACGTGCACATAAAGGCATATGTATCCCGTGTACGCACACAGAGGAAGGCACGCAATCGCGACGGGCACCGCATGTCGTTTTTCTCACGATGACCATCAAGGTAACTGCGAGCAGGCGAGTTGCAAGTTTTTCTGCGAAGTCGCAAATCACAGAACAGCAATGAGGGCCGTGTCCCTCGACCGTAGGGGTAGACGAAGTTTTTGCTTTAGGCGGCACGCTGGCAGCATGTAATACATGTAAAAATGCTTATCCGCTTCGGCCCGTGCGCTGCGGGTGAAACAAGAAAAACGCCAACTTTACTGAATATAATTATCAGTGTAAACGCAGGACGGCGTATATGGTGTGTGCTGTATGTACGTACGTACGGCGGACTTGTGTACATTTGAGGCGACGGCAGGCATTTTCTCTCGGGCTATCGCTCCCCTTATTGTTCGTACGAGACTATACGTATACAAGGAAATGTATTACAAAGGTTATAGGTAAGCATCGTACGTACTACTGCAATGACGTCAATGAAACGCTACAGCCCAAAGGATTAAAGAGATTGTAATGAAAAAAGAAATGCTTGGATATGTTGAATTTAAGATTCTATATGATATATACGTTTAGAACAAGTAACT